TGTCCTTCTTGTAGTGAGGGGCCCAAAACTGAACGCAGTACTTGAGGTGCGGCCTCACCAGTGCCGAGTACAGGGGGACGATCACTTCCCTAGTCCTGCTGGCCACACTGTTTCTGATACAAGCCAGGATGCTGTTGGCTGCCTTGGCCACCTGGGCACACTGCTGGCTCATATTCAGCTGGCTGTTGACCAACACCCCCAGGTCCCTTTCCTCTGAGCAGCTCTCCAGCCACTCCTCCCCTAGCCTGTAGCATTGCATGGGGTTGTTGTGACCCAAGTTCAGGACCTTTAGCTTTGGATTAGCCTTTCATTTTCCAGCAGGTGGCTTGAGCCGTTAGCACTTGTAACCATGTGGGCAGCCCATATTGCATGTTGCAGTTCATAAAGAACACCACCTGTTTAAGAAGAATGCTTATGACTGCATCACCGGTACCACTGATGTGATGCCCTCACCACCTCTTGTGTGTTAGCCACTCCTTCCACTGGATGGAAGGCACCTAGAGGAGTGGATGGGGCTGACAGTCCTGAAGCAGGCATAGCATTAAAATTCATTGGAAGCTGGAGTGTTTGAAAGTTGCAAGTCCTATATAAATGCATTTTAAGTGATTATATTTTGTAAAATACACTAAAATCTTTATTTTTAGACTGGAAAAGCAGCGACATGACATGCCCTGTATTTCAGAAAATATTCAAATTCAAATATTTCAGAAAATATTCAACATATGTTCCAGATTGAAGCCATATTATAAATCAGAAGCAAGAGTGATAATATAGTTTAGTTACCGAGGAGGTTACAAAAGCATTGGGAAATGCTAAAGGAGAGAGTTATACAGGGAGGTGATCTTGTGATCTCTGCTGTTTCTCCCAGTTTCCCGAGTCAAGCCACTCTGCATTTTGTATAGTTTTGTTGCAAGTGAGGTTTGGTGTAATTTTTGTAAACAATTCTGTATTGGGTTATTTGTAGTGTGGTAGCTGGCTGAAGTGTAAACTTGTTTTCAGAGTAAGTTCCTGGAAATATTTTGAAGAAAGAACTTGAAAGGCTAAGAAAAACTCTTGGCAGTCTGTGGGCTACCAACGATAGCTGGAAAGCTTATTTTTTAGAGTTGGGTTTTTTCAGTAACTGGAATTTGAAAATTTGTGGATTTTTTCCTTCAGTTATTTTCCTATAGCTTTCCCCTCTGGGCTGCTTCACCAAGTGTCTATTAAATGTTCTGCAGTCTGTTTTTGTTTAACTCTCTAGTTCTGGCTTCTCTGTGTGTGTGCATGTTTTAACTTCTTCAGGATGGTAATTTAGATGTAAAAATAGTTGCTTAGTGTTAACTGGCTAGCTCTTAAACCAGTAATCCAAAAGTATGAGCACTTTTCTCTTACTCTGACTTTACTTGGATGTTGGAAGTTTTCTTCAAAACAAACCAACCAAGCTAAAACCACCTCCCCCCTAACCTTGATATTTTTGCCTTATAACCTCCGCTACCATCTGATAACCAAATCACACCTTGGGTCCAAGTTGCTTTTGTAGATGACCTCCTCAGATGATCCTGAGATTAGAGAGAATTTTTAATCCAGTTGGTGGTATTTGTCTGGTTAAACAACAGACAATTATTTTGTTTAATGGTGGAAAGTGTTCTTTCCATATCAGAATCTTCCAGCAGGAGTTAATGCACCATAGTTGGGATGTGGCTTATGGGTAGAAAGCTGTAAATGAGGCCTGCCTTAGTTTTCATGCTGTGCAGGTTGAGAGACCCAGCAAAGGCAAACCTTGAAACATCTGAGCAACCCCTGACTCTTGTTAACAGCTGTTAGAGTAGCATTCCCTCTATTCATATCAGCTTAGTTTAGGATATTCCTGAGCTACAATATTTGTCTAAAAGCTGAGCTTGAAGGGAGTGACGTCTCTGCAACCTGCTACTTACTGAACATAGCTGGAAGTACCTCAAAAACTTTGTGTGTTTAATTATGAAAACAATGAACATTAACTCCTCTCATCTGTAATAAACAGTGACCCCAAAAGACAGCTTTTGCTTTGTATCTTTTTTTTTTTTATGCCAACAGCATTCTGTGTTCACCACAACATGCTTGCAGGAGATTCTCATACGCATCCATGTTAAAACAAGAATGTCTGTGTTGCATTAGAACTTGAGCTCTGATTTTGAGCTAAAAGTGGTATAAATTTGCTGTAGGTAGCACGGGTCTGGCTGTTAATAGGCAAAAAAGTAAATGTTCAACCAGAGGTAAGAACTGATAGCTTTAAGACATTTGGTAAATATCATACCGTTGTTTTACACCTGAACATGGTGAAAGTCCTGAAATTTAATTCCTGGTGGCTGGATGCTAATCTGCCTTTCCATGTTAGTGCCACAACCAGTCACATAATAACACGGTCCTTGTTAAAGAGGGATTAATCTATGAATCAGTTCTGATTGTACAGGAGGTTGCAGTTATGCCATATAGGAGGGTGATCTAGTGCTCTGCCTACATGAAATGCAGTTTTTTGAGAATAGTGCTGCCTTGTACTTCTAAAAGGCCCGTTCCTGGAATGGTTTGATTATAACTCACTATGTTTTTACTTATGTAATGAGACAGTAAATTAAATTATAATGTCTTTGAAGTCTGGACTGGATCTAAAAAATAAATGTTACTTGGATAACTTTATAGCCGGATCATCTGCCATATTAATGCCTGTTGATATGTGGAGGGTTTTTTTGTTTTTTATTTTTAAATGGAAGTTATGGTAGTTGGGGTTAAAAAAAACCCAACAGACAAAAAGGACAAGATGAAGCATGGTCTGGTGACTAGTTGTATAAACTGAGATCTGTAAAATTGTTCGATTTTATGTTAATTTGCAGGGTGTTCTAGAAGAATTTAATCTGCAAGAGTGACTGTTGATGGTACACTGTTAACAATACTGTTGAGGTTTGATTACTTTGTTGCAAAATTATGAAAGCAAGCTATTTCATCAGTTATGTTTGGATTGCTGAATGCTGTTCTTTAAATTGTGAAGATTAAATTGGATATTTTCCTGTTTTTCTATTGTAGGAAAAGTTCGGTGGCAAGACTTTGATCAAGATGCTTATGTTGGCGCTACCATAGTGCGATCTGGTCAGGATCCATATGCCCGCAATAAGTTCAATCAGGTAGAAAGTGACAAACTGCGAATGGACCGAAGCATTCCTGACACCAGGCATGATCAGTAAGTGCCAAACTGAGCCATGTTTGACTTGGATTAACTTTTTTGTATTTACGGCTTTTGAGCAGCAGGTGGTTTTCCTAAAGCAGGAGCTCTCCAGCTTTTAAAATGACAGGAACAGTAAACTGCGGTGCGATCCTTAAACAGTGGGTTAAAGAACAATGAATCTTAATCAAGTTTTTCTCTTTCCATGATTTCCATCAGTCTGTAGTCTATATCCAGACTAGTGCTGCATTTCAGTCTCTTTTTGTTCCTGTTTATCTGATGGCTTTTCTGGGTTTCTAGATTTCTAAGTCTCTTTCACTGTGAGGATGATCAAACAGTGAGGCAGGTTGCCCAGAGAGGGGGTGAAGTCCCCCGGCTTAGGGATATTCAAAGCCCAATGCACAGCCTGCTGTAGCTGGCCCTGCTTTGAGCAGGGAGTTTGGACTAAGATTTCCAGGGGCCCCTTCCGAGCTCAGTCGCTCTATGATTCCATTTTTCTACGTATGTGACAATTGTCAACTCCAGACCTAAAGGAATCGATTTATGCACATCTCGGTGAACACAGGACAGAATTACACTTCAGATGCTTAAAAACTTTTGCTATGTCAGGCTGCTTGTGCAGATTCAGGAAATAGTACACTTCAGAGTAAGGAAAAATATTATTTTCTTGTGGGTAGAGAAGATTTTTAATTTGAAAAAGGGTTTGGGTGACTTGCACTAATCTTGTTTAAGCAGAATTGATTAATATTAAAACAACAGTTGATCATTAGGACTTCAGTAACTTAAAGAAAAATAACAAAAGCAGGTTGAACTTGGTTTTAAAAGCTAGGCAGGCATAGGCTGAAAGCATAAAATTAGCCAACTGTGTATAGATAACTTGCCTCACTAATTCTGCAGTTAAGTTGAATGTACATTCACAGCTTTGGAGGTAGAAGAAGCTGGAGGAGACACCAGAGGGAGAGAGAAAAGGAAGGTGCCTGGTTTTTCTCCATAAAGCTCTTTAATCAGGAGTGGCATAGCAAAGGAGATTTCTGTAGAAACTCAGACCCTTTCTGTGTCGTTTTTAAATCCCTTGTATAATAGTATGGTTTTGGGTTCCTTTAAGCAGATGATTTGTAGATAGTGTAAAGTAAGTCTTGTGTAATTTGCCATTAATTGAACAGGAAAGTAGAAAGAATCTGGTGTTTCACTTGTTGCCATGAAAGCCACGATGCCTGTGGTATACTGAGGAGTTTAAAATGACTTTTGAATTTTCTTCATCACACATAATTTTTTTTTTTCCACAAGATATGCATTCTAACTTTTTAGACCAGGTGTTTTTTCCCCCACAAGAGCAAAGCTCAGCCACCAACTTCTAGAAGCTTCTATGATTCAGATATGCTGAATTTGGAATTTTTTAAGATACTTAATGACCTCTGAGGGGGGTCTAACAGACAAATGCTCTCCTTTGAGAAGAACTTAAATGAGAGATGACAGGAGACAAATTACATTACAGTGGCTATGTTTGTTTTAACTGTCAGCGTTGTGATTATATGCTGACCTGCCTGGGTTTTTTCACTTAATGGAGCTGGAAAAGAACCCTGCAGTGGGGAGAGACTGAGAGAGAGAGAGGGAGGGAGGGGGGGAGAGAGAGAGATATGTTTCTGGGGAAAGGCTGTATCTGTGCTGTGATTATTGCTTAGGCTTTGCCATGGAGCAGATTTAAGTGCCCATCAGTCTGTAAATGGTCATTGTTTTAAAGAAAAAAAAATAACCAAACAACCGAACAAAAAACCCAAACCCCAAACTGAAGCAATCATTCCTGCAAATAGTCCATGATGCTTTCCCTGCCACGTTGCAATTAATTTTCCTTCTATTTTGGCAAGGACATTCACTGCAGAAGCTGAAAAAGTCGCATGAAATATTTGTTTGGGAACTGTCCAATGGAAAGAGCAAGAGCAATAGCCATAGGAAGAAGAGTATGTTACAGATCTGAGTATGTGACACTTGGAAGCATGTTATTTTCAATAAAATTGGAGGTAACTGGGTTAAGATTAAGATCTCTTATGGAGCTGCTACGATCTCTTTCTTTAAGAAAAGAAACCTGGATGAGGAAATACTTGTTTCTACTTAAGCAACTTTTTATTAATTGTATTGACATGTCTAAGAGGCTGTTTGACTTTAAAATAACTATCTCATAATACTATTTCATTGCTGAAATAGTCTAGGCTGCTTAGAAGCAGTTTATCAGGTTTCTACATAAGATATGTAAATGTGTGTGTAATTATGCATCTCTTTTTATGCGACATGGTTTAGTCTTTTCTGCATCGGACAGACTTTTACTAGCATCAGGTTAAGACCAAAGTTTTCTACTTGCGTTTTGTGAAAGCCTGTCAGCAGTACTAGAAAACACTTTGGTTCGCCTGTTTAAGCTGTGCTTGCCTTTATTTTAAGCAAAAGGGAGAAGTGAGAAACAGGCAGATACAACATAAGAACGGAAGCAGAGAGAGGAGGTCTGAGCAGTACTGCAGATTCTCACTCCAGCTGATGCTCACAACTGCCACTTCCAACAGCTCTGAGAAACCGCTGGGTTTCCTTCTGTTGCAGTCTGTTTACGACGTGTGACAGCTATCCCTGTCACGGTAGATTCTGGAGATCCAGAAAGTGAGCGTCACAGTTGCAATAGGAAACTTCCAGAGCTGTCCTCCTGTCAGTGTAAAATATTCTCCCAAATGGTATGAAGGATGAACTACTCCATGGTTTTTGTGGACCAATGTCCACCACCTTACTTTGGACCAGTGGTTTCTGATCATGTCTCTTACCTGATGTGTTGGCATGATCCTTGAGAATTACTGGTAAGTACTTTAGCTGGACTAAACTGAGTTTTCTTTCTCATTTGGCAACTATTAGAAGCTTCTGATCTGACGCTCAGGTTTTATTCTTCAGTAGAGAAGAAACAAATTTTCCTGTCTCTTTGTACCCAGATATCTGCTGAGGTGAATGTTCTCCTTGCACTGGTTAAAGTGGATATTTCTGTCAAAAAATGGTTTCAACAAACCACAGAGGTTTCAGAAAATTTGTTAATGATATGAACTAGCCCAGCAACTCAAATTTCTGGGGGGAAAGAATGTACTTTTCATGGTTTAGCTGATTTTAATGACCTATGCTAAGCATTGAAGTTTTCAGTTCAAGTTCTGTTTTATCCAAATGTATTTTCTCATTCTGCATGTAAAATTAAGTGCTGTAACTTGAGGAAAGACAGTCTAATCTCCATGCCAAAAGTAATGGCATTGTTTCTGTGGTTTGGGTTTTAACTGTGACACTGACACAGCAGAATAGGAGGAGGACTGCTACTGAGTCAGTTAAAGCAGGGATTTTTGATGAGCTGAGAGCAGAAATACTCAGTGAAACATTCCTCCAGTTTTATTTGGAAGTCTAAAAATCTTAATTTCTCCCTCAGAATTACACAGTAGTGCTCTTCTCTTGAGTTTTCTTGAAATAGAGAGGCTTCATTGCCTTGAGTAATTCCACCCTAAGATGTGCTCTGGCTCAAATGCTCTCTTCTACAAAGAGATCAGTGTCAGTTTAATGTGACTTTTAAAATTATCCTAATGTAAGTGCTTCATGCGATAACTGCATGCACAGTAGGCTTGTCCTCTGTGGGCAATTTGAAAATTAGCAGAAAAAAGAATGTCTTTTTTGGCACCATAGGCTTTGGTGTGTAATAGCTGGATGTCTTCTAGCTGTCTAGATGAATTGCCAGAAGCTCACAATAGAGAAGGTCTTAATTCTTTACTTTCCAGAAATGCATACAAGTTTGTGATTTATTGCTTCAACGCTGGGCGCTAGTGACGAAGCCATCTTGTACGCCCACCATTTGAGAAACAAAGCTAGATAAGGCCTTGCTAATCTGACGTAGCAATTGTAGGGTTGGCATGGGCTTTGTTTTTCTTCAGAGTGGGGTCACCATGGCACAATAACATTTTGTTTCACGACAAGCACTAACGTGTGTGACATTATGGGTGTGTAGTATTGAAAACACTGCAGGCCCTTGGGATTTTGTAAGCTGAGCAAGGGCACGAAGCGCATTGCTGCTTCCTCGCTGATTCCACGGAGCTGAAGGTTGTGTTGTTTATGATGCATATCACAGATGTTTAATCAGGTGTGGAGAGGCCTTGTATACAGGCAGAGGCCTAGATTTAGAAGTTTAGGTAGCAATGTAACTTACCTCTCTTCCCTTAAAAGCTAGTTTGATTAATACTGCACAGAGTACAGAATTACTTGCTGAATTTGCTACAGGTGTATGCTAGCTGGGTTTATCTCCTGAAGACAGCTAGGCCTGTTAAAACTCTACCTGTAATATTAAATAAAAGATACGTGAAGAAATACATCACTCGTTTATGCTACTGCATGAATGGGGATCAGCATCGTGACCTGTCAGACTGCAACGCTTTCAGCATAAACTCGATATACAGTGTTCTCTAGTACTGTTAGTGTCTAATGCAATGAGAGTAGTGATCTTTTTAGGTTTATTGTCAGTGGATTTAAACAGCTTAACTTTATGTAGTCCTACAGGAAGTATTTTGGGATTTGCTTCTTTTCCTTATCATATTAATTTCAGGCTACTAGAGGTGATGAAAAATGAGTTGACATAGGTGGAATATTTCATTCTCTTTATGGTTTGGAAGGATGTGGTTCTGTGTTCAGTTGGCTCAACATTGTGAGAGCTAGCTTTGTTTTTCAAATTCTGAATGTTACAATCCTTAAAAACAGTTTTCTGTTCTAATGAGAAGTTTTATCTATGAGCAAGACCAGGATGCTACAGTAACTTTAAAAATAAAGGAAGAAGTGGATGTGTCCCCTTCTAAAGAAAAGATATATGGTAGCCTGTGAACCTGTGCATTTTCATTGAAAAAATGCTCATTTGCTTAGATTTATTGAATGCTTTTAAAGTAAAATAAGCGCTCTGGTTTCATACTCAGTTGCATGAAAGGTATTTACAACATAGTGCAGTGGTGATAGTCCGGTGACTTTTCTGAACCTGCCTATATCCGACACTGACTTCTTAGTCTGTTGTGTGCTAAGACAACTACCAAAAGTGGCAGAAGAGGAGTTGATTATAATCTCATCTGAAAACAAGATATTTCGTTCTTGCTAGGTAGAGGTGGTGTGTACATGAGGTTAGCAGACAACTGCTTCACAATGAAGGCTGTCTGCTAAGCCTGGGATGCAAATGATATCTTCAAATGACAGGCTATTATGTCTTTCAGGTGTCAACGGAAACAATGGCGGATAGATTTGCCAGCCACTAGTGTGGTGATCACCTTTCATAATGAGGCAAGATCTGCTTTGCTTCGAACTGTTGTCAGGTCAGGTATACCTAAGAGAGAACTTAATTTTTTTTCCCTAAAGGCCATTCATTTGTGTCAGATAATGGCTTATGATAAGGAAGGGAAGAAACAATCCGTTACGTTTTTCTGAACCATTTGCAGAGGGGAAGATGAGCCTTAGTTTCATTGATGCCTCCAGTTCTTACATTCTGAAATAGTGATGTTAAACAAAATTGCTCCCCTTAACTACAAATGCATGAAACTGTGGAACCAATTACCAGATGATGTGTGGAGGCTGGCTGTATAACTAGTTTCAAGAAAAAAAATCAGGGAAGATGGATTCTCAGAAGATATTTGACCTAAAGATATCTGCAAAACTTCCACGTTACAAATTGTCTAATGCACTGCGTTCTGGAGGCTTGAATTTTGTGGGAGAATGATTCTACATGTGCCTCTCCTCACAACCACTTTCCAAAAGAATAAGCCAATAGCTCTTGTTGAACATAGCATCATTGTGGCTTAACAAAGTAACTACTTTTATGACATTATTATGGAAAATTAAGACTGCTTGGTATTGAATGCTTTTTTTTGTCTCTTCCAGTGTCCTTAAAAAAAGCCCATCACACCTTATTAAGGAAATCATACTGGTGGATGACTACAGTAACGATCGTAAGTACTTTTACAGGGTCCTAACTTTATTTTGTTTATTCTGGTAAGACTTTCTGTGGAGGGTAGTAGGTGACTTGCTTGAGAATAGGTCACATGAATAGGAGTTTGCAGAGACTGATCCAAAACCAGGTCTTAATTCTTTCGTATCTGTCATTGTGGAAATGTGAAGAGTTCTGATAAATACTTATTATTTCCTGCTAGCTGAAGGAGCAGAGTGTATAGTTGAAAACAGCCTTTACATAGCATGTTATCTGATGTAAAAATAAAGCTCATGATGCTTGCACCAAATATTTTTGTAGCACCGCTTTAAATGAATGCTGGTCTCCATCAGTCTGTTGGAAAAATTCTTACTGAATCTAAAATAAGTCAAGGTTTTATAAGTACTCGGGTATTGCAATACAAACTTGAACAATTGAAATGGACCTCTGAGTAACATTTCTTAAAGGAAGTTAATGTCTACACTTGCTAGTTTATAGCTAGTTTAGGATAGGTTTAAGCCTTAATGTTGGTTAAAAAGTGAGCTTTCTTCTATGCAAAGAAAACAGTAATTCTAGAAAACAGCTTAATCCTGTAAAAGCTTTTCTTTTTTTCTTATGCAATGTAGAAACTGTCTAAAGTAAACAAAGAATATAATTAAATAAAAGTATTTAAAGAGTGTAAAATTAAATTAGCCTTAAATAATGTAATGAGGGTAGTAATTTCTTAGCCTGGTAACTTTTCTTTATTTTTAGTGAGACAAGTAGGCTTTTTTTAAAGCATCTATCTTATATTTAATGATTTATGACCATAAACACTCTCCACTACAAAGCTTTTGTTTTTCTTTGAAGACAGCCACTCTTATGGTATACAGTGTTGGATATCAGACTGGTTCTCATAACTTGATTTTTTTAATGATTTTATTTTTTAAAGCTGAGGATGGTGCTCTCTTGGGAAAAATTGAAAAAGTGCGAGTTCTTCGAAATGATCGCCGAGAAGGTAGGCTTAATCTGCAGGAAGGAAGATACAAATTCCACTGTGCTGCCTTATCTGTTCATCTTCATCAAGTCTTTTAAAGGAACATTCTGCTATACATTCCATATTGAAGGGGGGATTTTCACTTTATAAATCAACTTACTAGTGGAAGGAATAAAAACAAATGCATTTGTGCAAGTAAAAACAGTAATTCTGATTAATTCCATATTGTGCGCAATTGGCCGTTGTTGGCTTTCGCAGTGAAAGCTGACTTGAGAAATTGCCTTTCACCCTCAACCTCTCCTTTCTCTTACTGTACTGAATCCTCAGTTAAGCTGCTTCCATTGTATGTGGGGTCTCACTGTAAACTGCATGAATGTTTGAAATGATCCAGCTTAAAAATAGCCCGTTTTTTTGCTGCTTCCCTTACTAGAGATCATTTTAAGGATCCAGTTGATGGACAGCCTGGCAAACAGTTTAGCAGACTTGAGAGGGTTTGAGCAGCCAGGAGGGCCAGGGCCATGTATGCCGGTTTTGCTGAAGCCAGTGTGCCATGTAACAAACTTGTCTTACATTTTTGTTTTCTTCTTTGTTGCTCTGTAAATTATGGTCTCATATCACTGAGCCCTTCAGTCAGCAGCTTCCTGGCTATGGAGCTTAAAGTATTAGATATAGGCAACTGTTATTCTACAGCTGTCTGAAATAATAACTGAGAGTTGACAGTTGAAATAGCTGCCTGAGTTAGCAGATACGTGCTCGTTTATTTCTATAAGCACTGTATCTTCTAGGCTGCCAGCCTGGCTGGGGCAGCAGCCAGAAATATTAGATTGTTGGAAACTTGAAATTACATGCGCAAAACCTGTGTTGTCCCATAATTAAAGTTATTGCCAGCTTGTGGGTTCTTAGTGTTTAAATGTTTTGTTTGGAATATGCTTGTGAACAAAGGCTTGTTAGGAAAGCAGGCCTTCTGTGACTTGCCATGGTTGCAGGGTTCTGAGTAAATTAATGTCATTTTTCTGATCAGTACAGCACTTAAAGATGCAGATAATAGTAATGGAAAAAACTGAATTAAGTAACACTTTTGATTTTTATTTTTTAGTAGTTATAAACATTAACTTTGTACTGCAGATACAGATTCGTACTTAGAAGTATGCATCAGTATATCTGAAAATGAAATAACAATTTGACAAATCTTTTACTATGTCAGAAAAGAACAACTATTTGCAGATCGAAGGCGCAGCACTAGTTTACTTGATATTTTCGTGAGATTAAGATTAAATTATTACCTATGGGGTCTACTACACTGTTCATAAAGTTTTGCCTAGGCACCCATATGTGCAACCAGGTGATAATCTTTTAAATTAAAATACTGTAAGATTTTATTTGATTGCTGGCTTGCTATGCTTGAGTTTGATACTCACTTTGCTTTTCATTTTCAAGTGTAGGCTGATGCTGATATCTCAGACACATAAAAAATAAGATTTCAGAGAATCAGTAAAATCAACCAGTGTGTAGGATGCTAAGAGTTCTGTATGAACAACACAGAAAAGCAGTGTGTTATAAAACAAAAATTAAAATACATGGATGGTGTCTGTGGAGGGGATGACATTGACTGCCTTGCTTTTGGAAATATGTGATAGTAGCTTTTAGTCTCATCTGTAAGACCAGAGTTTGTTATGGGAACATGTGTGTTTTGGAGTGGGTGGTAGTCTACAGAATAAATGTTCAGGGGAACCTTCTCGACTCTTTCTGTTGTAAGGCTGAATGTGATTGTAGAGGACTCAATGACCCAAGTGGTTACCTCCGTTTTTTGGGCCCTAAATCTGAAATTGGAAACACTGTTGTGCGTTTTCTATGGAAGTACGGCAAGACAGTAGGTTCTATAAGAATTTAATTTAGAAATAATAAGCTCTGGAAGGAGGAACTGCAAAAGTAAAAGAAACATAGCCAGAGTGCTTGAGGAATGGTTTGATGTGGAAAAAATGAACCAAACAGGTTCAAAGGTTGGAATTAGGGAGATGGCATAAAAAGCAACGGGGTACAGTTAGCTGCCAATGTACAACAGATAAGGTGTAAAACTACTGTCGGAGAGCATCAGCACAGCGCGTAACTACAACAGTGGAGTGGTCACATTTGTGGTAAGAGGTAGTACAAGGATCTTGATGAGGCTACTGCTGAATGCTGGACGGAGCAAACAAGCTTTTCCTCTTAAGCATCTTGTGTTCCGTTTGGCAAAGTCATATTTTGCAGGTTTATTTTGTAAAGGGGATGGAAAGAAGTGGGGTTGACTCTTCTACAATATTTCAGTTGGGGGGCTGGGAAAGCAGAACAGATTTGATGGGGAACAATGTAGAAAGAAAAAAAAAAAAGTAGTTACTTGCCTTTGGTCTTGAGTGACAATGAAATCAATAAATTTTGAGTAGTAATAGAGAAAAGTAGGCAGGAAATTTGCAAAAGAATGAGAGGAAGGTTGCTATTTTTCTGTATTGAAGTACACGGTGCAATGCTCTGGGGTGTGTGTGTGTGTGTGTATGTATGTATATGTGTATATATATATTTATATATATATATCTCAATGGACTTTAAAGAATGGTGAGGTCATCCAATGAACAAATATTAAGAGAGAAGGAAGGAAAGGAACAGGGTAAATCAGTGAGGGGATCTGTGTAATTGAGGTGTAGAGAAGAGAAGAAACTTTTGACTTTACCAGAAGTTTCTTCCTAAAGAAATCTTGTCAAGATAAGATTTAATTAAAAAACAACAAAACAAAACAAAAAAAACAACCAAACAAAAAAAAACCAAAACCCAAACAAACTACAAAACAAGGGAATTGCAAGAAATGCAGGGGAAAAAACAGTTGAAAGGGGTGGAAGGAAGGCTCTCAAACATGAGTTAATGAAGCATGGATATTTCTGGAAGAAGTTGATAAAAGAATGGATGGACCAGTGAGAACTAAGATGGGGGGCAGCAAAAATATGGGGAAGGTAAGTTAATGATGGTGCTTTCCTCAGTTTTATCGTAGAACTGTTAGGTGTTTGTTTTCAGGACCTATCTTGAGTGACATTTATTGGTATAAATACTATTTACTGTAATGCAGAGCCAGCCGTACTTGTGTATCACCTTTTTTGAAAAGGTACTTTAATTCTTGTATTTAAATCGGATTGAAACCTGTAGACCAGGGTGCAGTAGGTTGGAAGCTTGCAGGCTGTGTGTTATGAAGTCATTTCACTGAATTGTTAACTAGCATCTCATTTTGATAATGGAACTTGTGTGTTTGTCCTGTCTGAGTTAGAGTAATTTAATTAATGACTTAACTTGGAATGCAATAGTTTCTCACTACTGTTGATTGTTTTACTTAAAACTTTTAATCTTTACTTCTCAGGTTTGATGCGCTCCCGTGTCAGAGGGGCAGATGCAGCACAAGCGAAAGTACTGACCTTCCTGGATAGTCACTGTGAATGCAATGAACACTGGCTGGAACCGCTTTTGGAAAGAGTAGCTGAGGTTAGTAAAGAGTTCTTCTAAAGTAATTTCCTGAAGAGGTAGCTTTTAAATTTTAAAGCCATCTGGTTTATACGACATTAATTTTATGCATTTTTCTAAGGAAGCTTTTTCTCTGAAGTGAGATGGAGATGATCGGAGTGCTCTGTGATTAAAACCCACTTTTTGTTCCTTTAATCTGTGAACACAGGAACATAAAATGTGAATATTTATTATTATCTTTAGAAGCGATTCAAATATATGCTGCTTTGGTTCTTTAGGGACCTCCTCAGTAAGTGCTGAAAATCTTTAGACCAAAGTACAGTTCTCCTCAACCAATATCATCTCAGTCTAATTCAGTTTACCTGAGTATTTATGCCTCATTAAGATTCAGTGTGATAATAGGAGAGACATTGAGCCGTGAAACCAAAATTCTCGTGGAAATGAGCAGGGACTGTGGGCTCTCAGCTTCTATGAAAGTGATGCTTAGTCTGTGTCCTGGAAAAGCAATTGAGAGGATCGAGAGTGAAAGTATACTGTTTTCTCCAGGGGTTGGTTATACTTGTTAACTTGCTCTGGAGGAACTCGGTTGAAGTGGAAAGTGAATCAAGTGTGATCCCAAAAAGCACTGAGGAGCACTCAAGACAACAGGGTTTTCCTTCTTTCTTAATTGTATTCCCTTTCTGGTAAACTCCCCTTCCTGGAAAGGCTTTCTTTCATAATGGTCCTGGTGAAAACGGTTTTTCTAAGCTACTGTTTTGTTAATGCCCAGTTCTTCGCTTATCCTCCCTACACTTCCCGTTGCATTTCCCATCAAAAAGATGGGGGGGGGGCGGGGGGGAGAGTAAACCCTATATATTCAATATGCCATTGGAGAAGCTATCAACTGATGACTGGTTTTCCTTATTCTGTTTGGTTCTATGATGCTTTACTGTGTATTCCAGAAATATTCTAAGTTACCTGAGACATATCAGCAGTTAAAATCCTATTTTGGAATAGAAATAACTTTAATCAGCTCAAACCTGGACACTATTAAAGTACCTAGAGCTTACAAAGCCCTTGAGTGCGAGTAGCATAGCACTTCCTTCTGTTTTTGTGGTTGTGTAAAGTGTTGCAGCCTCAGAAGAGTTGGGGGAATTTCTCTATAATATTTAACTAGGAAAATAAACTTGAAGGCATTAAATATATCTCGGAAGGAAGTGGAGAATGCTTGCAGCTAAAGCACTAATGGATTCTAGGATGTGGGAACTGTTTTCAAGCCTTTTTGTTTAAATGGTTTAAAGCATCTACCTGTTCAAGAAATCAGAAGAAAAATGGTAGTGTTGGTCAACAAAACCCTGCTTTTAGTAAGACAGCTATCTTGCCATTTACCCTTTTTCTTTATGACTTTTTTCAGGGCATACTCATTTAGCTTTCTGAAACTGATAGGGGATATCATCTGTTGTGATGGTTAACAGAATGTAAAACCTCTTACTAAATTGCTGACGGTTTTGTGAATATCCAGCATACACGTGGTGTACTTGGTGGGAGAAACTGGTGCATATTTTGCTTTGTGCAGCAGCCACTTTTTAGCAGCACATGTATTATTAGATCCTTCAAAACTTACTCCTCACAATTGTCACTGTGATACATGCTAATCATGTGTGCCATTGAATAGTTTTCAGCTGTATGAATAGAGTTTTCCATTCTTAAAAGCTTGACGTGCTGTTAAATAAATAATTGACGTTGAATTCCAGTTTACTTTCATGAGGGAAGATTCCCAACCAAGTATGGGGATTGATAAAGTAGCTTCTAAGCTTTCTGCTTGTTCAAATAATTAAGGCATGGATAGTGTTTATGTATAGTATATCATAGTTCTTTGTTACTTGAAATGGATTGATTTTGCTTACAGTACAGATGGTATGTTACTTGGTGTTAATTGGCAGCATTTTCTTGATAGTCTTAGTGACAAGAAGCTGAGTAGATATGAACTCATTCCTGCTCTGGCCCCAAAGGTAACTTTTTTCAGGTCAGGGCTACTGTGCATTAATACAGCATTTTCTGATGCGCTGCTGCATCTATTCTATATGTGGTGGAAAGCATGGACTTTTTCTTTTTTCCTTCTGGTCCAGAATTGCCCACTTGGCATTTAATTCTGTTGGAGTTTTGGGGGATTAGTTGTGTGTGTTACAATATAAAAATTTATAGCTTCCAAGAAACAGTCTGAATTGAATCAGTTCTACAATGCTCTATCTGATGTGCTGTAACCACTTTAGAAAGCTGTGTCTTTGACCTCTTGCTTGCGTTAGCAGCACCTAAGGCATTAAGCTCTCCCCTTCAATTGAAGGCTGATCCATCTCACAGTTTTATTTTTCAAGATGGTTTCCTGGTTAGAGTATTTTTGTCTACTGACAAGGCTTGCTTAGCGTTCCTAGAGGGGTCTGACACTGCTAGGGATTTTTCTTCAGCAATTTGAGCAAAGGCTTAAAGCAGAAGCAGCATACGTACAAGGTGAATATTTTAGAGTTCAGAACGTGCAGATACCTGTGTAACCTGGAGCTGGTGTGTCTTCTCCCTCTTTGCTCCCTCCTGGAGAATGGTTTTTGGCCCATTTCCCTAAGGCTACCTTCTACGCCCTCCAGATTTTTTTTCTGTGTGTGTGCATTAGGGGAGATTAAATGAGGAGACAGTGGAGGTTAACCCTTTGATTCCCCCAAAATGTCAACATAGTAATAACTATACACAATGGTAACTACTATCTATTTCATGAACATTTGTCTACTTGGCTTTTTCCACTTCCAGTTTCTAATCACGTTGATGTTCTATTCTTATAATACATCAGTGATATGGGAACAATAAAAATTCAAAGATTCTGGTGCGGAACTGAACTAATCTGTTTTCATAGCATATCTGTAAATCCTATATCACTTTTAGGAAGGTATTTTTAAACAAAGATCTTGAAAGGAAGAAAAAAATAAGATTGAGAAATGAGATGTGGATTCCTTTTTCATATCTGTGTCAGATTTTTGTGACCTTGAATGAGTCAACTTTTAACTGGCACAATGCTGAAAGGAAAATATTTATATTTCCTCTTAAGACTGTTGTGAAGCTTAATCTTTGAAGTGTCTTGAGGTTTTTAGAGGGGGGGAGACAATGTGTGCAGAATCTTAAGGATAATTTCTGATGGTTTATGAGAATAATATATAATCGTCTAACTCTCTAGAGCATACATAACCTCCTTATGAAATATTAAAATGAAATAGTCTGCTACAAATTTCCAGGCACTAGAGACTTGCAGTATTCACAGGCTATTTCTTTCCATTACCCTCACCAAGAAGCACATAGCTTTCCAATTTTGTGTTCCATTATCAACTATGGTGTCAATCCTTCAGGATGAAACAGGAGATTACAAAAAGAAGAGTTCCATTTTGCTTGTGTTTTTCTAAAATGTATATCAGATATCTATTTTGATCACACTATGGATAAATAAGTATCTTGCTCTAGGATAATTTAAAGGGAGCAGCTGATTTTTAGTGTTTTAAGTGCATGAACTCCCTGTACTTTGGAGACCCACAAGCTCTTTTTAGCAGTCTGCATTAACAACTCTGTAGTGCCCTGCGAAATATCACCTTAAGAACATGCAAATCTTTTGTCTGTTTTGCTGCTGAGCAAATCTATAATTTCAAATCATTGAAGGAACAGCATGTTTCCACACCAACAAAGTAGGGGTTGTACATTGAACTGAATGGTCACAACCTGGGTATTTGTCTGTTGGAGAGACAACTGCAAGTTGTTTAAATAAGATGTTAGGTGTAGCAAGTGGTGTTACTGTGGTGTTGCACTGATATTGATAGAACTAATCAGACCAGCAGTAAAAGCCTGAGGAAATCCCAAATGTGTACAGACAACATGCTGCCTGCTTATTCAGCATGGTGGAGTGGAGATAATTTGAAGCTGAACTGAAGCTCTGCCTAACGTGACACCTGATAGCTTGAGCAACTTTTACCACCAGGTTCCACCGAGCCGAGTAGAACCGTTTGAGAAAATGCAAATTTTTGTCAGAAAAGGTTTTTAGAGATGGGCATAGATGTTGGTCTCTTTTCCCAAGTAACAAGTGATAAGACAAGAGGAAATGGCCTCAAGCTGCACCAGGGGAGGGTTAGATTGGGTATTAGGAAAAATTTCTTCACTGTAGGGGTGGTTAAGCATTGGAGCAGGCTGCCCAGGGAAGTGGTTGAGTCACCACCCCTGGAGGTATTTAAAAGACAGGTAGACGTGGTGCTTAGGGACATGGTTTGGTGGTTGATTTGGCAGTACTAGGTTAACGGTTGGACTTGATGATCTTTAAAGGTCTTTTCCAGTCTCCATGATTCTATGATTCTATTCTATAAGCTGTCTCAGTTTCAGCTAAGGAAAGAAGGAGAAAGAAAGGAAGGGTAGTTTCATTTTTGCATTTCATGCTGATGGGTGTATAGTGAATAACTTGATAGGCATGACATCTTCTGTCTCATCAGTCTTTAAATAAAGGAGTTCTCTGATTCTATCACTGTATATAGAATGCCTAAAATAAAGTAATGGGTGCACCTGAAGTGCTTTAGTGGTGTAGCAGAGCACACAAACACAAGTAGTATTTTGCAGTTAAGGTGCAGTAAATCATAATTGCCTCCCAAGTACAACACCGTTGGCAAAACTAAGCTTGGCATTACAAACGTGGACTTGGGGCTACAGCGAACAGAAATAGGAGCTAAAGATGTGCTCGATGGGAGAACAGGACAGGCTGGTCTTTTTTGTCTGTTTCTAGTTTGCTTTAGACTACGCTAACTAATAGTAGCAGACCTGATTAGGTATTACACTACATCCCTCATAAAGGCAGATATTTGGCCCAGGTGGTATAGCTGCAGTGATACTTAAAAGGAACATAGAAATCGGTAATGAGCCTTCAGCTTTTAGCTGAAGACACAACTTGGGTTCTCCTTTTGACTGATACGGAAGTTAAAGTGACCTTTTCCTCACTCAGGCAGAACGACCTAGTAAATGCCAACTATGTAATTGGGGCTTATTAAAACCAGCACAGATTGAATAGTTAAGATTCAATAAATGAAAACGGGTGTTTAATGTCCTTATTGGACCGAGCAAAGCATTTGACTTAGAGTTGCTTTTAAGTCTTATTATGAGCTCAAACTATTTTCATACATACCATAGTTTGGCTCTGATCTGCTCTGTATAATACTGATTAGCAAGGGGGGATGCATTGCTGAACTGCTCTTTAGAAGATATGTATTGTTGTTTGAAGACATACTTATGAAATAAATTCTTAAAATGGAGATGTTTAGGTTGGATTTCTTTTTAACCATGAGAACCATTTCTCTATAACAGAGTTACCAAAATATCTCCTGTTTATTCAAAACACTTTTTATATTCACAGATTTGGTGATACACTCTTCTGAAGTTATCTGTGCTCTCTGAACGATGCTAAATCGTGGAGCTCAAAGTTCTATCTTGAACTCAAGCAAAGTGTTCAGTCAAACTGCTGTAGAAGTTATGCTTCAGTGTGTAAATGTAACCGGGTTGCTTCTTGAGTTGTTTTTTGTTTTTGTTCTTTTTGTGTGTGTGGTGGTGTTTTTTGTTTTGTGTTTTTTTTTTTTTTTTTTTCCTTCCCCAAGAAGTACTTACTTCACGGAGACAAACTGGCTTAACCATGGTACTGTGTTTCTAATATTAGATGAGTCTTTTTTTAGAGTACTGATGTCTTGTGATCCTATTGGATGATGAATGTGGAGTTGTTGGAAAGATTTTTGTTTTTTCTTAAAAACTATTTTGACAAACACATCAGCTAAGGTTATTAATATTACTCAGAGTAGTATATGAGCCCATAGTCGGACAGAGGAATGTGGTATCTGTACCACTGGAATCTTGGCTGCTGGAGATTAATAGCATTCATTAGTCTGAGGTGTTTTTAGGTTTTCTTTCCTATCTAAGTATCTGATTGTGAAGTGTGATTCTTCTAGTGTGAAATGGGTTAGCATTAGCCTAAGACTTTCCTGATTGCAGGAAGGCCGAAGTGTTCCTTAAAGATAAGACTGTAGTACACTGCGTGGCTAGAAATTTGCTGTGGAAAATATGAATTGCCTGGATTCTTCTTTTTCTTTTGAGCTCGTTTTAAAAGTAAGAATGGAAGTCCTGTTTGCTCGACTGCCTTTAGAACTACAAGTTTGCTGCCTTCTTCAAGAGCAACTCAGAAGAGAGGGATTACTTGAATATAAGTAGCCTAGAGTAGAAAAAGGATTCCCAGCTACATAGTGTGTTTTCTGCTTTCTGAAGCAGTGCTGAGCAATGCTATTCACGGCACTGGCTATTCAGAGCCGTAAGTTGAAATAGGGGGAAAGCTGGGGGAGATGTGCTAATGAAATCCTGCTGAGAATCTTTATATATTGATTTCATTATTTCAATATTACTTTCTAATATTTATTTTAGGACAAGACCAGAGTTGTGTCTCCTATTATTGATGTAATTAATATGGACAACTTCCAGTACGTGGGGGCGTCAGCTGATTTAAAAGGCGGTATGTACCTGTACTGGAATACAAATTAAAAAAAAAAAAAAAGCATCAAGAATCAAAGCTCATAATCACTGCAGTTGTGGAATGGGCAGTTAACATCCTGTTCTTCCCTTTCATACATCTAGTTTAAGTTCTATAGTTCAGTTGTTTCTAGGCTTGGATTTTAATTGGCCTTGTCTCCTGCTCTAAAACAGTTCATCTTTATTATACTAATTCCTATAAGTTTTTGCTGCAATGTGCAGTACTCACTCCAATGTTTGTAGGATTGTGTGAATGTGTCAGAAGCAGCTTATGGCCAGAGCTTATGATTCTCTTTTTAGGTAAGACAGGCTTTAATTGCTCTCTAGCTTAGAAGCCCATCAGCAATGCGGTGCCTATGAGTTTTTTTCAAGATGCTGGTTTGCTTAAAAAAATAAACTCTTCTGAATAAGCAGAAAGCTTTGGAATGTGTTTAAAAAATAAATGTTTCTGTTAGCCATGATCTATGATTGTGAAGAGAATAACATGTGACCTTGAAAATTTGTAGTGTTTATACCTTTACAGTTACGAAATTTCCTGTTGAATTGAGTTTAGAAGTACTACAGGTTCACTGTGTCTAGCTAGTGTAAACTGTTGACAGCAAATAGTAAAAAGACTTGTGAAGCCCTCAAAAAAAAAATATATATAATAAAAAAAAAAAAATCCTTCCCCCTCATTTTCCAAAGTGAGGAGGGCAACCACACACTAAATTCCTTACTCATTACAAGTTTTGAAAACTTTTTTAACTGTAAGCAAGAATCTAGCATTTAAAATAGCTGTTCTCTGCCCCCCCTCTTCCCCTCCCTTTTTTTTTTTTTTTTAAATGTTCCCACAACCCTGGAAACCAAACTGTCTGCACAAAGATAAAAGATGAGCCACAATGTAGAAATTACGCAGTGCTGTTCCCACAGTGTTTCAGCATTTTGTGAATGGACTTTCTTGAGTGAGGAAGGAAAAACCAATTTCGAGCCCGTTCTGTCAGTTACTAGTCTCTGACTGGCCACCAAGTGTTGTTCCAGTAAACTAAAATAAAAGCAATATTTGCAAAATGTCACATATGCTTCAATTTCCAGTGAGTGATCTGGAGGTGAGAGGTTCTATGTCCTTTTAATTAGTGTTCTGAAATAACACCTACAGTGCATATATTCACGGTATGCTAATGTATAGCTGTGTGCTATTATCTGTGTGCCAGCTTTATTAAAACCTGAAGGCTTTTACCCAATCTATTCATTGTGCCTCGAGTATGGAAATCTCTATACCATTATGTGGCTTTTATTGTTGTCTGCAGTAGGAGGAGGAATTCTTTCATTGAAACCTTCGATTGGTTCCTGCGGGGTTCATGCTCTTTAATTCTTCCCAAGTGAAGTGGGAGAAGATTGAGAGATCATTTCACTTGCTACTGCTTTTCATTCTTCATCTTTGTTTCCCAATTTTTTTAATTTTTTTTTTACTTTTTAGTGCTTATTTTCTCTCCCTATACACAATAGAAACAGATTCTTTAAAGTGCGTGGAGTTTCTGTACTTCTGGACTAAGGAGTGAGAAGCTGTCATTTTTAACATTAACAATAGAAATTTTGCACATACCAGTGTTTAAAGCTATTTGGGGGTCTGTTGAAACATGAATAATATATTTCCTTTCACTTCCCAGAGGACAGATTACCATGTTAGAGGCACTACAGCATTTGGCATCACAGGACACTTTCACTGGGGCCAAGTCTAAAGATGGGGAAACCAAACTATGCTTTCAACCTTAGATACAGTATCTGTGCGGCTGAAGCATGGAGAGTTGAGACAGCTGGGACAGCATTTGTGCCTGGTCTGTTTTGAAAGGACTTAATCACCCAAGACAAGCAACTTAGCAAATGCTACGAACTTTTTAAAGCGGACAGGGCCGAAATAATTCCCAAGTCTGGCCACTCCTAAATCCATGCACTTCATGTTACAAATTTTTTTTTGAGAGGGGATTTGCAAAAGTGTTTATGCCACCCTGAGAAACACTTTAATTACTGGAATAAACTGTAGTTAACTGAGATCTAATAATTTAGAGTATGCCTATAATGCAGTTTACACTGGATAGAATTTCATACTGGATATGCACTTGTGCTTAAAAATACTCCTTCTACAGAATTACTGATATTATCTCATTGAGTGCAGATTTTTCCCAGAGTCAGTGAAAATGGAGACGTAAAACCAGTTTTTATGGGTAGACAATTTATACACTTGTTCTGAGTTTGTAACAGAGTGCTGTGTTCCAAAAGAGACCCCTTGTGTTCACTGGAGTATATGTAACTCTATCTCTACCGCTTCTGCCGGAGAACAGTAGGTTTTTTCAATTTCTCCCAGATGCAACTAATTTTGCTGGGTACATATGATGAAATGCGACTTTTTAACTGTGTGGAAATATTGGAGCTCATTCTACTTTTTATGCTGGAGGCTTTGCAGTACTATAGATCGCAGTCATTTTACTGGTTTGCTACTTGGAGTTTTGGAGTAGTTAGACGGTCTTTCATTTTTACAGTGCAACGCAATGAAATGCGTGGAGAGAAGGAGTTGGCATGCATGCTGTAAAGACTGTTCAGGATAATTTCTGTATTGTGTGTGTGATAAATATCTTGTGAGTTAAAATGAAAACTGTTTAGTTTTCAGCTCTCCACATCCATCATTACTGTGCACATTTATGGATGCAGACAGACAGTTTGTAGGACTGTAATAGTTGTCTGTTTACCGTAGCTTTTTTCCCCACTTCCCCACAAAGTAATTGCTTTATCTTTATGCTGGAGAAAGAGAACTATTGACATCTGTGCACCAGAAATCTGGAAATCATTCATTACATGACCTCATAGGATCTAAATGCATTTGGCAGCAGGCAGTCTGTATAAGGCTGATTTGCTAGGTGTACTGGGAGAGGGCTATGAACCTTGTGTCATTTTTTAATAGATGTTCATGCTTATGGGCATAACGCAGCTCAAAAAACTGTTATGAAAGTGTTTCCTATAGGACGTTTGTCTTTCACCAGCTGTGTATCATTGCCTGAAGATGGTAGTTCAAACAGTCAGGCAGAAAGCTGCTGTAGGTGACCTATTGGTCTTGTCTGTTCTAGTGGTGTTTATGTGCTTCTGTGCTTAAATCACGAAGGGACCAGACCAGCTGTTGCTGTGTGCACACACATATACGTACACACATACGGGAAGTAAGATTTTGGCACTCTAGCGCTTGCCTCGGGTTTAAAAAGTGATGCACTTAGAAGCATGCGGTAGGAAAGGAGGAAGTTAAATGAATGTTAATAAGTGGGAGCTACATAACCTGTTGTGACCTGTATGTAAACATGTGATTGTTTGATAAGAGTCGAAAGGCAATTGTGCAGTTAAGACTGTTGGGAGCGTTTGTAATGGCTGGAAGATCTTCGTATGATGTTCTATTTGATGTAAGGATATGAGACGTTAGATTCATATAGAAAGCTTTTGCTTTGTCACTTGTTGACTGGGTTTCTTACTTTGTGTAATAGATGGCAACAAGAGAAATCAAAGTTATTTTGTATTTGAGATTACTTTTTTTATTGTCTTGTTAACTTCTTTACCTTTCATCTGGACTCCTGCTTGTTTGTTTTCTACCCAGAAGTTTGTACAAGTTTAAATTTTTAATTTAAATTACAGTTCCCAGTGTTTTCAGTCAACTTTATGTTACTACAAGTTGAATGATGATCACAGACTTTCTAACATCCTACTCTCTAATATTTTCTTCTCGAAGGCTTTGATTGGAACCTGGTGTTCAAGTGGGATTACATGACACCAGAGCAAAGAAGAGCACGGCAAGGAAATCCAGTTGCTCCCATAAAGTATGTCTGTACCACCACTTTTCCCTCTAATAGATTGTAGTTTGCAACCACAAAAAATCAGAAATCATCTTCTCTGAGTCTGAAAGGGGATCTTTACGATGGCTTTCATTAATATTGAAACTTCACTCATATTTAGGTAGCATTATGAGATTCTCAGAAATAAATTGTATTTTAAAAAATACTTTGAAGTACACTGGAGGATTATTTACCCTTAACAAAAAGTAGATGTCGCTTTGTTTCAACTTGGTATGTTTTGAGGGCTAAAACTACAGCATCAGTTTTAATGTTTTATCGCTGGCACAAATTGCCACCCTTTAAATAAGGAAGTTGTGAGCCAAATGGAGATTTGGAAACTGTCTTAGAAGGTGGTCATAGCACTATATATGCCATAGAAATGTGTGCAGACAACATTTGAAGTGATAGTTGCAAAATTAGTTGCATTCAAAAGCATTGTAAATTTTTTCAAGGAGGGATTAACCTTGAGGTGAAAATAATAGTTACCTCCCAGTTCATGGTTCTGTAAGTATTTAACTTACTTTTTTTCTTGTCTGTTTAGGACACCCATGATAGCTGGTGGGTTATTTGTGATGGACAAATCCTATTTTGAAGAACTAGGGAAGTATGACATGATGATGGATGTTTGGGGTGGAGAAAACTTAGGTATGTATATTACTTACCTTCAGATCAGTCTTGAAAGAAAGCAGGTTTCATCATTGCCTTTACTGCAATGGAGTCACGGTTTTCCTGATTTTGTGCAGAGGATTAAAACTAGCGTTAAAACTTCACATGCATTATTGGCAAAATCCGAAAGGCTTATTTCATTGAAAGAATTAAAACAAGGTAGGAATTATATGTTAAATATGAGAGAATAAAAGTATTTGGTCACTAAGCAGTGAAATTTTTTTTGTAATAGAAGTTGGCTGATAAAATAAAAAATTACAGGATGTAGACAGGAAATTACTTTCAAAAATGCTATCTTGTTTGAAAGTCACATCCTCATCTAAAATTATTGATTAAAATACAATAATGTTTAAATGCTGGCAATTTAAGGCATATTTTAAGATGTTGCTGAAATTTAATAGTGAAAAGTAGAACACGGGAGTTAGAGTTTAACGTTCTTACGTACATCTTAAGAAATCAATTAAAACTTAGCTGACTGAAGAATAATCCATTTCTTAACATTAATAATACTATACTGCCTGGCATCTAAACTTAGTGAGTTTTTCAATTTGTATACCCCTACTTTAGTACTATGAGATAATTATGGTTGAGAAGGCATTTTTTCTGTAATTTCTCTTTGCTTTCCAGTATTGTACAAAGTTTTTTTTTTTTTATCCAGTTAAGACCTGTGTACTTGTATTAAAACAAAAAGATTTGGGAGGAGCAGAACTCTACAACTTCTCAAGACTTCCATTCTGTCATCAGTTTAGTTTTTTAGGGTAGAGCTGCATCTCAGACATTCTGTCATAGAATCATAGAATCGTTAAGGTTTGAAAAGACCCTTAAGATCATTGAGTCCAACCGTTAACCTAGCACTGCCAAGTCCACCGCTAAACCATGTCCCTAAGCACCATGTCTATACATCTTTTAAATACCTCCAGGGATGGAGACTCAACCACTTCCCTGGGCAGCCTGTTCCAATGCCTGACTGCCCTTTCGGTGAAGAAGTTTTTCCTAATGTCTAACCTAAACCTCCCCTGGCGCAGCTTGAGGC